TGGATATGGTTTTGTAGCCCTGAACTTGCTCTATCTATAGCAAAAAACCGCGCCTCTGCATCATGTACTAATCGAAAGTTATTAAAAAAATGGCCACCCGCCTTTTAATTTGAATTGGATATTAGTACATGTATTTCAATCATAATTCAAAATCTTTGTATTCGGTTAAGGGAATTTTAATGTTTATATGTTACTTTGCTTGGACCATCGTCCATTTGGTTGATAGTATACAGGAGCGGACTCTTTGAAGCATTCACAAAATCGGTATCGATAGGTACGCGATGCTCGATGTGGAAGTCGAGGCTTTTGCCGTTGTCGAGCGTTGCACAAAATTGCATGAGAAGAGTAAATAAAACCATAAATAACTCTTCCTATATCATCCGAAGTACTTTCAATTGCTGCATATTCACTTTTCGCATTCTGAGAATCAACATGTGCATTTGCAAAATACGCTGTATTAACTAATAACAGCGATCGTACATAAATATCAACAGATGATCGAAAATTGCCTAGAATTTGCGCATTGTGATATGTCTTTGTAAAACACGACGGCACAGATGTGAAAAATCGTTCAATCAATTTATGTAAGATTCCCAATGCGTTTTCATACATTCGCCTATTGTTGTATTCTTTAATAATTTGTGTAAGCAATGCTTTTAAAGACGCTTTTAATAAGGCCGGATGACATAGTTCAAAGTAAAACAGGACCTTGATTTTTCGTGTAAACTTTGTAAATACAATTGAAGACACCGGTTTTAACATTACGGATTGAAAATATAACTTGCACTTTTTTGAACATTTACATTTGGCTAAACGCATGTCCAATCTAATCAAAGTCATGTATTTGCAGAGAAGCAGATGACTGTGATTCGGTTGTGAACGCATTTGCGCCACAATAATTCCTATATAAATCTTCAAAGGTTGTGTATAATATTTTTGATTTTCATACATTTTCGCGATATACTGGCAGGGTCAAATCAAATGTGTGATATGTGCGCCCTGCCGCATAAGTACGCGAAAATTTTCTTTGTAACATTTTATCGCAGCACAATAATTCGTTCTCATTTCGTAAATGTTGCCGAACTTAAAGTACGCGTTCCAAATATGGTGGAAACCTGAATTTAGTTCGATTTCCAGAATTTTCTTAAAACAAATTTTCGCGTAGTCATAATTACCGGAGTCAAAGACTAGATAAGCAATTTCTTCATAGAGTTCCACTAGAGTCGAAGTATTATGTTGCTCAAGTGCTATCGAAAGCATTTTTTCATAGATTGACAGCGCTTCTGAGTACTGTTTAGCGACTTTGTGAATTACGGCGAGATAGTTATAGGATATAAGTAAATAATCATTATCGGCGAATAAATAAGTTTCAACAATGTTAAGAGCTGTTTCACCCAGCTTGGTCATCCATGTGACTGTAAAAGATTCACATACTCAAGTACATAACGATGCGGATTAGGTGATAGTGTCTGGGTAGGCATTTTAACAACAATTCAAAGCCCTTTCGATAATTATTTAAACTTTCAGTAATTGTAATGAAATTTTCATCGGCAAACAAACCTTCTCTTATATACATATTCAAAATGACACTACATAATTTTGGTAGCTTCTCTGTTAATAACAGAATGTGACCTTCAGCGCTACTTTTGTTTCGCCAGTTGTGTATGACATTCTCTATTTCTTGTTTCGAATGAAATTCTTCACTGAAAAAATTATTTTCTTCTTCTAATTTGAGACAGACATACCACATTTCATATTCTTCAATAGACACAATTCGGAATATTGTTCACATCGAAAATATGATTCCACTCTCATCTTGAAATTGACTAAAATCTTCCACCTTGAAGAATGGTCTAGTATACTGCAAAGATTTATTGATTTGTTTGTAATAGGAATCATCAATATTGATTTGAAATACGACACATTCAGAACAACAGCTACCAGCGACAAACGATGTTGCCATCATTTTGTTTGTTTGTATAGAGCTTTATTTAAATACCTCAAATAGAGGGGTTGGTAGTATCACCTAACAGGTGCTGACTACCTAACAGAAATTAGATTCGCATGCAGAAATTATAGAGAAGAAAAAAAAAAAATATTTAAATAATATAAAGAACATTGACTAATTTCCACATTAGAAATATTACAAGCAGACAGTAAACTATCATCTTTCTCGGTCAGAGTACAGCCAATCATATAGAAAAATAAATTTTTGTTTTTTTGAAGTACAACAAAAAAAAAACGTACTCTACACACTAATACTATCAGAGTTTTGAACAGACACATAAAGTATACATTAAGGGACGTTCCAGACAAACGAACACAGCCTATCAAAAAAGGTTTCATTATTATTGCGAATAAGTT